AATATCAAAAAACTAAATGTAGAACTTGCGCTCAACCTCAATGTCCAGGATCCTGCACTCCCTGGTGCATTCACTGCAAAACAACCAATCACTCCTCACTATCCAACAAATGCCCCCACAAACACACCCTCACCCAACAGGCCAACAGACACATAGACATCGACTCGGCCAAATTACAAACACGAAAACTGACACAGCATCCAAGAACACCCTTGCTACCCACACCACAACCAAACAACGAACCACACCTACAGAGCCCGTTTGACGGCGTCCCCATGAAAATACCACACGCAACAGCCACAAACACCCAAACCCCACACTACCCGCCAACATTCGCCACACCCAAACCAGTCCTTGCATCTACTCCCGCACGCAAACCAAAACTCACCATACCCGCCATATCCCACCCAAACACCATACAATCCACAGCCACCAGGGCAACAACAATCGGACACGAGCAAGCAACACCCGAAAACACAAACATAACTCAACCCATTGAAATACCCAGCACGACACAACCAAACACTCAAACAACCCCCATGGATAGTGAGGACACTAATCTAATTAACTTAGATGACTCCCAAACCGAAACTCAGGTTAACATAAATGATATAACACGGTCGGCCCCCAAAAATCTCAAAAACCGCAAACGCAAACCTCAAACTCAACCTGAACCCCAAACACCCTTAAATACCCAACTAAATAACTTCACAATCCTTCTACTCTACCTGCTGAAAGAAATCAAACCAGACATTAAAGCCACTAACCTACACCAAGTAGCTCGTAGACTAAATCTTACAACCCAAACCTACCCAGAATTCTACGCAAGCTACACCCTAGCTACCGCAGGACTATAAATTAAAACCTAAACCAAAATCATAATCTCCAAACACTAAAAGCCCAAATAATGACAGGCCTAAATATCTTCCAGTGGAATGCGGACGGGCTTAACTCCCACAGCCACGAACTTAAAGCTAGATTTAAACTTAAACAGGGACCACATGTAGCGTGTATCCAGGAAACCAAATTTTCAAGCAAATCCAAATTTAACCTTCCAAACTATAACACAGTCAGACTAGACCGACCTAAATCAAAAACACTAAGAGCATCGGGAGGCCTAATTATACTTATCCGTGAGGACATAAACTACGAAGAAATCTTAGTCAATACCCCAAACCTAGAAGCCAATGGCGTCCAAATCACCTTAAAAAACAAAAAAATAAACATCGTAAATATCTACCACTGGCTACAACAAAAAATCCAACCGGAGGATCTAAATACTCTCAAACAACTAAGCACCAAATCATCCATCTTCTTAGGAGACTTTAACGCCCACCACCCCTCCTGGGGCACGGGGGATAAACTAGATAACCACGGCAAACTAATTTCAGAATGGATAGAGGCCAACGATCTAGTACTTCTAAATAATAACCAACCCACTAGATACGATAAAAGCAATAACAACATGTCGGCTATCGACCTAACAATCTGCACAGCAGATCTAGCTCAAAGCACACAATGGGAAGTTCACGACGCCCCCCTAGGAAGTGACCACTTCCCAATAAATATAACCATAGGAAATACTAACGTCCCCCACCAAACTGAAAGCTCAGAGCCCAAATTCAATTACAATAAAGCTAACTGGGACAAATTCCAAGATATTTGCAATCAAGTAAACCTACAAAACATAGAAAATAATGACCCAGAAATATACTGCCAGAACTTAACCAACTTCATAATTAACACAGCCAAAAGCGCAATCCCTTTCAAAAAACCAAATAAATCAGGTAGGCCCTCGGTACCTTGGTGGAACGAGGAAATAGAACAAACTAGGAAAAAACGTAAATCAGCCTTCAATAAAGCCAAACGCGACCATAATCACATACCGGTAGCTCACCAACTAAACCACCAAGTCCAAACACTAGTCAAAATAGCAAAAACCAGAGACTGGAAAAAATTCTGCGAGGGACTAAATAATCGCACAGATGCCAGAACAGTCTGGCGCAAAATCCACGCCGTCAGAGGCTTAAAAAAACACAAAAAAACGCCTAACATAAACAACTCAAATACTCCCAGCGAAAAAGCAAATAACCTAGCAAACCACTTTTCGGCAATAAGTAGCAATAACAACTTCAGCCATAAATTCAAACAAAAACTCCAGGCAGAAACCAAACCTATCCAAGAACCAAACAATAACAACCTAGAAATAAACCAACCGTACACAATAGAAGAACTAAACCACGTACTTCAAAATAGGAAAAAAGGAACAGCCCCAGGTCTAGACTTAACTTCCTACCAAATAATCAAAAAACTCCCGCCCAAACTACTCCAGTCACTACTAAAACTCTATAATCTAATTTATCTAAACGGCCAGGTTCCAAATCCTTGGAAAGAAGCTCTCATTATCCCCATCCCTAAACCCGGTAAACCAGCCAACCAAGCCAACTCCTATAGGCCAATATCGCTCACCTCTAACCTATGCAAAGTAATGGAATCCATGGCAAAAAATAGACTCCAACACTACTTAACCCAAAATAATATAATTAATTCAGACCAAAGCGGTTTTACTCCCGGCCGCTCAACCCTAGATAACCTAGCACGTCTAGAACAGGATATTAAAACAGGACAACTAAATAAACAATATACTACAGGCATCTTTCTGGACTTTTCCAAAGCCTTCGATATGGTATGGCACAACGGGCTAATCCAAAAACTTAAAAAAATAGGACTAAAAGGTCAAATCATAAACTACATCCAAAGTTTCCTTAAAAACCGTAAAATCACAGTGGGTATAGACCAGGCCTTGTCGGACCAGTGTCCACTAGAAAACGGCACACCCCAAGGCAGCATTCTTAGCCCCACACTATTCAACATAATGATAAACGATCTCTTTGATGGCTTATCCCCTAAAATAAATACTTCCAAATTTGCAGATGACGGAGCCCTCTGGATCCGTTCTAAAAGTATTTTAACATCCCAGGACTTACTCCAGAAATCACTAAACAAAATACAACAATGGGCCGATAAATGGGGGTTCTCCCTAAACACTGAAAAAAACACAGGAATAGTATTTAAACATAAAAATATGACACGGGCCACCCCCACCCTTAAACTAAACAACAAACCAATCCAATTTCAGAAACAAACTAAATTCTTAGGACTAATATTCGACGAACATCTCTCCTGGGATGCCCACGTCCAAAACCTAACCACAAGATGTAGCAAAGATTTAAACACACTAAGATGTCTAACCGGCTCCAACTGGGGTGCCTCTAAAGATACCCTCCTCAGCCTCTATACATCCCTAATCAGATCCAAACTAGACTACGGCTGTGCCATATACGATACCTTAAACGAAACATTAACCAAAAAACTAGATTCAATCCAATACCAAGCCCTCAAATTAGTCACACGTACCCAACAAGGCACATCCCTTACGTCACTTCAGGCCCTCACAGGAGAAATGCCGCTAAACCTACGTAGGCAACACTTAACACTAAACTTCTGGGCAGCTTCTCAATCAAACCCTCTTCTACAAAATCTCCTAAACCTAAACATACGTCCCAAAAACCAGGCACTAACTAGGAAACACCCTCTACTCACTCCAATTTCCCAACGTATTATAAACTACCGCAACGAACACCAAATAGGGAACCTACAACAAAACTGCAAAAAATCCAACGTATTCACCCCAAAACTTAAAATCCCCAAAATAGACACTTCCCTAGCCAAAACAATAAACAAACAAACTGACCCTAACATAGCTAAATCCACCTCACTAGCCTACATACATCAAAACTGGCCAAATTGGTGCCACATCTACACAGATGGATCTGCTGATCCATTCACAAATCACACAGGTTTCGGAGTCCACATAGCCCAACCAATAAGAAATACGCAATCCTTCCGACTCCCAAACAACCAATCTATCTTCACCGCAGAACTCATGGGTATCGCCACGGCCCTCCACAGCCATCACACTAAAAACCAAAATAAAATCCTAATACTCTCATACTCACTAAGTGGACTCCAGGCCCTCCAAAGCAAAAACACCAAAAACCGCCCCAAATTAATAAACCAAATTCTCAAAAGTATAGATAAATTAACAGAGGCAGGCAAAAACATAGTACTCACCTGGATACCAGCCCACGTAGGAATATACGGTAATGAGAACGCCGACCAAGCCGCTAAACAGTCCCTAAAAATACCAGAGATAAGCCTTAAGCTACCAATAAGTAAATCAGAGATCAAAAGTATCAACAAACACAAAATCACCCAAAAATGGCATAGCCTCTATCAAAACACAAACACCCAAATCATAAAAGTCCTCAAAAAACCCCTTACCAAACCAAAAATCCTCCATCCATCCAAAAAAATCGATAGAATAATCACCAAACTCCAAACAGGACACACCAAACTAAATAACCATCTTCTAAAACTAAAAAAACACGCAAACGGGAAGTGTCCACACTGCACTCACTCAGAAACCATAGACCACGTACTACTACATTGCACCCACTACCTCATCCAACGTACAACATTACAAACCAACCTAAATCCAAATAAAGCTCTTACCTTAGAAGCAATCCTCAACCCCCAAAATAAAATAGAAAACTTCAAAGCCCTAGGCATTTACCTAACCAAAACAGACCTAATTAATCGTATCTAAAAATTCACTAAACCACCAACACTAAACATCTAAAAACAACAACTCACCCCCACACACTCCCTTAGTCCCAACCACTCCCCCAAGGCATGTCTTCCAAATCTCAAAATTTCAAAACTTTATATAAGCAACCACTAAACCCCCCTCCTTGGTTGCACTCTTCTCGCTTCCCCTTTTATATCACTAAATGGCCCGGCCGGGCCCGTGTGCGAAATACGCTCCAGTCGGAAAGCGCACGTAAAATCCCCTAATATAAGTAAGTAAGTAAGTATATCGGCTTGGACACTCGCCCCGCGAACACGTCCTCCTGAGCTCTCAAAACTGAAAACCGACTATGAGAGACCTCTCAAAGTCACTACCGAGGGAGCTTGTCTCCATCCTGGAGCCTCTGCTGGCTTATCAGGTTGGGGACTACTCCCTCAGGACTTCCTATAAGTCCAAAACTTCCACGCTCTCCATCTCTTTTGACTTAGGTCAAAAGAAGAAGCCTCTGGTCAAGGCTCCCGCCAAGACCAAGCCTCAGGTAGCACCCACCCCGGCCCTAGCTCCTCCTGCACCCCGCCAGGCGCAGAAGAACAGGCCCCCACGGGAAAAGAAGACCCCTCCTCCAGTCCTCGACATGGAGATAGAGACTTCCCTCCCTACCACCCCGCCTCCCCCGGCAGCTGCGTTGGAACTCGCTCCCCTCGAATCCAGAGGGGAGGAGCCCTTCCGCTCGCCCGAGGGCACCGGCCACGGGAGGAAGAAGAGGAGAGACATCCCCTCACCTCAACCTTCCCCCCGACCAACCACCACTACCGCGTCTACAGAGTCACAGGCCATGGAGCCCGCCCTAAACGACTCCAGCGTCCAGACCACAGCGCCACAGCCCACACCCCTCGCTGAAGCCCAGACCCAGACCATCCCGGTCGAGCCCCCCCCCCCCCCCCCCCCCCCCCGGGTCAAAAGCTTCAGGGACGTCTTAGTGGAAAAATCAGATATCCTGATTAACCACTATAAGACGCACCCGGACCTCCGTGCTGAGCTCGTCTCCACCCCCAGGGAGCAGCTCTTCGCCAAGCAAGGAGTTCCGTTCGCCATGATCCACAAGAAGTCGGGTGAAGAGCATGAATAAGACATTACAAGTTTCACGGACTTGTATCACTTTTTTCAAAGTAATGGCGCTCCATTCTCTGACCACTTCATCGCCAACACCACCGCCCTCCTTGCAAAGAGTCTCTACCGGAATCCCAACCCCCAGGAAGAGAAGCTGAACAAGAGACTCCGCGCTAGTCTTCTAGCCACACGCTCGCCCGCCGACGCCGTGCCTTCCCACGCTTGACCCCCTCCCCTCCAACCCAAGCCCAACTTTTTCCATATTATTGAGTACTTTTTTACCACCCACTCCCACCCAACCAAACCCCCACCCCCCGCAGCTTTATTGGATTAGTTCTGTAAAAGTTATATTTTTGGGGGTCGCACTTCTTTATTTATTCATTACGCTTTTTTTCTCCCAATAGTATAAAGTGCTTCCCCTTGTGCGAAATACGCTTTTAGTCGGAAAGCGCACGTTAAATCTCCAAGTCTGACTGACTGATGTTGTATAGATTTGTTTGGGAGGTTCTAAATTCGGTCTATAAGGTCGGCTTTGATGATGAATTGCGTTATTGCATTGAAGATGTAGATAGGGTTGGAAGGGTTGAAAAGTAGTGTGAGGTTTTGTTTATAGTTAGGAGGGATAGCGTGATAAAGTTCGGAGTGAAGGGTGTTATAGAAAGGACAGCTGTTAAAAATATGATACAAGTCTTCTGGTTGATTACAATATGTACATTTCCCGTCCGGGTGTCTGCCTTGTTTGTGTAGATTGTGGTTGAGGTTGGTATGTCCGCTGATGATTCTTGATATAATATTGTCCAAATGGTTAGAGCTGTTATAGTTGCGACATTTGAGATTGTATTGCGTAAAAAGTGTTTTGAGCCATTGTGAGTTAGTGTTTTAGATTATATTGTTGTAGTTTTGAAGTTTTATAGACTTTTTAAATTTGTTCTTGATCTCCGCTTTGGAGGTATGGACATAGATTTCTAATGAGGGCTGTAGGGTAGCTATATTGGCTGCGATGTATGCTTTGTTATTGCCTGGTATATTTGTGTGTCCCGGGGCCCAGAGTAGACTGATTTGTTTGTTGTTGTTGTTAAAGGGGCACTGATCTAACGCAATTCCCCGGACTGGTTGTTGCCTTTGTTATTGTTTTTTCCCCCGTGAGTACCCGGATGATACGCAACGCAACTGAGCGTGACCAGAGACTGGGCTACCGTCTGCAAGGACAGTTAAATAAACTTGGAGGCTGGAGGCAATATTTGTTTTACGCATTTTTGCATAAACACTGATTGGTTAACAAAAGGCGCATGTTAATTAATTTCTTCAGCCCAAACAAACAGACAAAAAGAACGGCGGAGCTCATCGGATGTCGTCATTTGGAAATACCCCAGATGGTTATAGTTTAATACTAACAAAAGTATCCATGCAGTGAAAGCATTTTCGGATTTCGGATTGCGTCGATAATACGATTACTACTCCCTTGTCATCCACGTTTTCTCGTATAACCCCTACACTTGTGTATTTGTTGTCATTCACTTGATGCTCAGTTAATGAATTTATTACAGGTACAATTAGTGGTAGCATCACTTAGATTACCTGACAAAGGTTCCCATTTGGCATTTATTGTGTCTGGGGTAATTATTCAATCTAAATCCATGTTTGAAGTGAGGTGAAATGTGTGTTATGTAATATGCACGTGGCAGCCCAGCAAGAGATGAATGATCAGTTGATTTACTTTTTTTTGTATATCAACGGATCGTTCCTAGTCATCAAAGGATTAACAGAAAATACGTTGATTGATTAATCACTGTTATCTTGCACAGTGGATATGTCAAAAGTGAGTGTGTACATGTCTAGGTTTACTAAAACAAAGGGAATTCACTCATATCATGGCGTGAAGTGCCCATGTAAAAACAACATACTTTGTTCAAAGGGTTAACTGATAATACGTTGATTCATTGATCATTGTTATCTATCACTCAATGGATGTTTTAGGAACCGTGGACGTTATGAAAATAGTTGTCACGTGGGCTTTCTCAGCCGACCCTTGAGACTTGACACCTATGTGAAACACCTGAAACAATCCAAGTGATCAGTTGAGAAACGAACACGGGTTATAATATCCCGAAACGATATATATCTTTTAAAATATTTGATTGTTACAGAGGCACGAGACATCGAATAAGTTTCTTTGTACAGCTGCAGACGAGTGGGATATTGTTCCTTTGTGTGGATATTCACGGATACATTCCTCGAACAAGGAAGCTGCCTAAAATTTATACACATAAATTTGGTAGGTTGTAATTATGGTATTTGCATTTTGTTTTCCTTCATTTGAACCGATAATTCGTTCTTGTTTCTCTACGTCTTGGTTGGGAAATTCTTCAATGCGCGATAGACGTTGTTTTCACAGGTCTTTTCCTTTGTAAGCGTGTATATATTACCGTCAATTTGTAAAATGTGATTCTCTCAGGCAATTTATAAAAAGTGTAAATATTTCAGTCCTTTATTCCAAATTTAAAAATTCCAAAAATCCAATACAAGCAACCCCTAAAAGCCCCCTCTTGGGTAGCACACACCACTTTCACCCTTTTCGGAATACACTAAATGGTCCGGCCAGGGCCGTGTGCGAAATACACTACAGTCGGAAAGCGCACGTTAAATCTTCTATATCAGTCAGTCAGTCAGTCATTTTGACTAAAAAATCTGTCCAGATTGATTAAGACTATCAAAAGGGCCTACAAACATCACAACAGATTATTATGTAGGATTAGAAGCCAAACAACATAGAAATGTACTTTTCAACTAACATTATCAGTCTCTTGGTGATGACATTAAACATCAAAATGTTTGGAATTCGTTATCATAATAATAGAGATGGAAATGTTTTTCAGTCAATTTGTAAAATAACTGAATATTTAGACGTTTAATAAATATGTTACACATTTTGACAGTAAAATAATATACACACTATAAAAAAAGCAATGCTCAGGTGAAATATTTACTTTATGTTGCAAGTAAAAATAGTGTAAACGAAAATCGCAAAATTACCAAGCAAGTGACTTATCAAAACTTCGTCACCATTACCGATGCTACCCACAAATATACCTACATTTCCTTATTATCTCGAAAACTGTATTTCATTTTGTTGATCAATGTGACCATACGCCCTAATTACTACCGGTATCCATAAAAGTGACAATGCGCTTACGAATGGCGCAGCAGAGGTCGCGAACTAGTCTAGATTTCTGCTATACATCCGGGTACTCACTGGGAAAAAACAATAACAAAGCCAACAACCAGTCCCGGGGAATTGCGTTAGATCAGTGCCCCTTTAAGTTGGTTGATGAGAGTAATAATGTTGTTGATGAGGTCTGGGCGTGTTCTTGAGTATTTGTTTTGAATTTGTTTGAGTGAGGTTAGTGAGTCTGATATTATTAGAAATTTGTGTTGGTTAATTGTTTTGATGACGTGTATTGCTGTAAGGATATTGCTAATAGTTCCCCTTTGTTATTGTTAGTGAAGTTTTTATAGTCAAAGTTTGTGGTGACGGGGGGGTTGTTGGTCTATGTGTATTCCTAGTCCTGTTTTTCCATTGGTTTGGGATGCGTCGGTGTAAATGTAAGTGTGTGTCGGCCAGTTATTGTGGAGGTGTCTAAGGGTTGCTTCGGCCTTTTTTGCAGTTGGGGTGCCGGGGCTTTGTATGAAAAGTTCGTGGAGCGTTGTGTCAACTGGGGGGGATGGGAGGTCGGCTATGTATTGTAGGAAGGGGTGTGTGTGATATATTGCTTAGATTGTGGGTGTGTATTAGCTTGTGTAGGTGGGTCATGTATGGGGCTTGGTCAGGGGATTTATTGAATTTGTGTGCCGTTTGTTTGTTAATGTTGTTATATTTTTGTTTGAGTATTTTAAAGATTGGATTGTGTTGTGCCCCAGCCCAGTAGTTGAGGATTGTCTGTTGTATTCTGTGTGTAATGGAAAGAGTGTTGGTCATGAGTAGTAAGGCATGGTGTGAGGTACCAGTCCTGGTGCCGGTAGCTATTTTGAGGGCCTTATAGTGAATTGATTTTATTTTGTTGTAGTTAGTAGTTGAAATGCCGCTTAGGACCGGAGCGGCGTAGTCGATTTTGGATTGAATAAGTGTTTTGTAGATGTTGAGGAGGGTTTGTTTGTCAGACCCCCAATTGTTACCTTTAATAGCTCTCATTAAGTTTAAATCTTTTTCACAAGAGTTGACCAATTTTGATATATGGGGGCCCCATGTAAGGTGTCGGTCAAATGTAACCCCTAGGAACTTAGCTTCTTTTTGGTATGTAATTTCTTTGTCATTAAGGTGAAGTTTGGTGTGTAATTTTGCCTATATTGTTTTTTGATGAGCATGCCAATGGTCTTTTTGGTGTTGATTTGGAATCCCTAGTTGGAAGCCCATTTTTGATATTGTTTAAAGCAGATTGCATTCTGGTTTTTAATAAATTGATGGAGGCCGAGGAGGTCCAAAGGGAAACATCATCTGCGAATTTTGCTGTGGTATTTTTTTCTTTATTTTTGGAATCTGAGAAGATGTCATTTATCATAAAATTGAATAGTGTTGGCGATAAGATGCTTCCTTGTGGAGTACCGTTTTCAATGGGGTGTGTGTCGGATAGGGTTTGATGGTATTTAACGGTGATGTGTCTGTCTGTTAGGAAAGAGTGAATGAAGTTTAGTATTCTCCCATTGATATGATTATTTTCGAGTTTTTTAAGGAGGCCGTTATGCCAAACCATGTCGAAAGCTTTGCTGAAATCTATAAAGATGGCCAGGGTGTATTGTTTCATTGATTGCGCAGTCCTAATGTCTTGTTCTAGGTGTAGAATGTGGTCTTATGTTTGTCTGTTATTTGTGAAGCCGCTCTGGTCCGGACTTATTAGTCTGTTTATAGAGATGTGATGCTTAAGTCTATTATTGATAATTGATTCAAGGATTTTGCATATATGGGAGGTTAGAGATATGGGGCGGAAGGAGTCGGGGTCATTGGGGGGTTTGCCCGGCTTCAGG